GACATGGCGGCGGCAGCAACAATACTACAGCAAAAATAAGTTACGCCTTCTTTCTTTGTGTGAACATTTGGGTGGTGTTATGCAAATCTTCCCACATCGTGTCGTAGACATGTGGGGACGTGTTTGAATGAGGTGTTTTAGGAGGGCGTGGACCAGTCTTAACTTTTATAAAGAATATCTCTTTGGGTTTGAGACTTTAGTCTTTGCAACTTTAGGGATCTTATCTATTCACGAACAGCTTGTAACACTCCAGAGAGAAAGGAAAACTTGAAATCGCATCATATGACCCCTTAAAGTCTTGTCTTGAAATGAATCAGATTTTGTATACTTCAGGTCCGTGAAATGGATTTTGTCAATTTCTGAGAATGTTAAGTACTTAAGGTATTAGATAACATGAATGTTTGAGTAATAAAAATCATAGAGATTAATTTTTTTTGACATAAAATAGATATTATAATAATAATATAGATATTAAGTAATGCTAAGTTTTTCCGGGTCAGTTTTGACCCAGAAGAGGTACATAACAATTTCAAAACAATCTATGTGTAGTACAGGAACAAAACTTTGAAAATGGGTAAGACTATCAAAATACACTTTTTATTTCAGATTTATAAAGTATTTTTATAGATTCAATTTTTAGGATATTATTTATAAGTATACACTACTGTTAAAAGGTTTGGGGTCAGTAAGATGTTTTTGAAAGAAGTCATTTATGCTCACCAAAACTGCATTCATTGGGAAAATACAGTAAAAACGATAACATTGTTAAATAATAAGCTAAAATAACTCTTTTCTATTTTAATACATTTTGAAATGTAATTTATTTCTGTGATAGAAAGCTGAATTTTCAGCATCATTACTCCAGCCTTCAGTGTTACATGATCCTTCAGAAATCATTCTAATATGCTGATTTGCTGCAGTAAAAGTAATTTGATGTTATTAATATCAGTGCTGAAAAACGGCATTGATTCTAGATATGTTTAATGAATAGAAAGGTCAAAACAACATTTATTTGAAATAGTAATCTTTTGCAACAATGCAAGTGTTGTTGATCAATTTAATGCATTCTTGCTAATTAAAAGTATGAAAGTAATATGTATTTATTTAGAAAAAAAAGTTCTGACCTCAAACCTTTGAACAGTAGTGTATTTTTGAAATAACGTTTTCTTAAAAATGTGTGTAAACACACGCCTAGTTGATATACTCTAATGTTCAAATAAATCAGATTGTTTACGGAAGCTATGCTGCAAAACAGACTTGTTTAGGAAAAGTTGTGGCTGTGTTAGGAAATTTTTCCTTTCTCTTTGGAGTGTTACAAGCTCTTAGTGCATAAAGAAGATCTGTAAAGTTGCAAACACTAAAGTCTCAAAACCAAAGAGATATTCTTTATAAAAGTTAAGAGTTAACCACGCCTACCTAAAACGGCTCGTTCTAACACGCCCCCACATA